TATATATATTTATATATATATATATATATATATATATATATATATATATATATATATATTTTTTTTTTTTTTTTTTTTTTTTTTTTTTTAGAAAAATGTTATGCGTAAAGTGTTCAAAATTAAGGAAATTATTTCTGTCTTGCTTATCTTTCTCTTGCCTCTTTTCCATCTTTACGGGTTCTGTCTGGCAAAATTGGACATAAAGAAAATTGTTATAGTTATACTTTGACAAAAAATGTCACCCATACTTGCATGAAGAAATTGTTTTACCTCCCTGCATTACCTGAGATACATTTTGAAAATGAAAGCTGTATTTTTATTAAACATTTTTACATGTTTACATGATAATGGTACCTTATTTTATAATAATAAATTTTACTGGTTTACAGGCTCTCCAGCCTCCACACTCCCCACTCCCAGTGATGCCAAGCAAGTAAGTTCAAATCTAGACTAAATATACATCAATTAATCAGGATTTTCTTTACAAGTCTTAATTTTAATTATTAGAATTTGTAGCATGCGATTTGTCTGTCTGTCTGTTTGTTTTCCATTCAGCCTGTTTTGCTATGTTGTACACCATCTCTTGGTTTTCCTGACAGCTATGTCAGCTGTTCACCATAATTGAACTGGCAAGATAATAACTTGTTTGTTCTGTTTTCCCAGTCTGATAAATGTTAACTTTTATGACATTCTTCCATCCTTGTCATGTGTCTCTCTTCCATCCAGTACTGACTATCCTGGACCTTTTGGATTCACCGTCTCGTGTGCCAAGCAAACTAAAGAGACCAAGTCAGCCAACTGGACTGTAAGTACTCTTTTCAAGTTTCAAATTTTGTTTGTTTGCTTTTGTTTGTTTGTTTGTTTACATTATTGAAGTCTGTCATGTTTATGTAACACATTGGGCAACTGAACTAGTGAACCCTAAAACTTGCATGTCCTATCTAAAACTTTCCTGACTTGAAATTTTGGGTTGCAGGCAGTATACCTAGTATCTCATATGTTTCATATTTTATCTTGCTATTTCTTAAATTAATTATATATATCAATATAAATTATTTATAATTTCAGTATTATAATTTTTTGTTGTTGTTTTAAAATTATATTTGCCAGACTTTCAGCTAAAGATAGATATTAATTGACAGAAATGTGTAATTAAAAAATATGTATATATATTTCAGTATTCAGATGTATTGAAGAAGTTATTTGTGAATATTGGCAAGTCAACCCCCATACGCTATAAAACACAGAAGAAGCCGCCCCCAGGGAGTGTTATCAGGGTACTGCCGATTTACATGAAACCTGAGCACATTCAGGAGGTCGTCGCCAGGTGTCCAAACCACATGACTAGTAAGGAGTTTGGAGGTTCGCATTCTTTATATTTTGTTAAATTAGTTTCGTATTGAATTTGTTGTTGTCGTCCTGAATCAAGTGAAAATGTTTGTGAAATGTTGTCCAAAGATACCTTATTTCTTTTCTGGTAATGTTGTTCATAGTGTTTTTCTTGTACATTGCATATTACAGGACATGAAAAATATATTATTCTGGCGTTAAACAGTAGGCATATTGTAATCTAAAAGTAAACTTCCGTACAATGTTATACTGAATAATACTTTTAAGTATTAAAATATCTATCAAACATGTGTAGAAATGAGGTTCAGTAATATGTGTTCCTGAAAGTTTCTTCAAACCATGCTTTTGTTTCTGTACATTTTCTAGAAAGTGATGTCCCCAACACGCACATGGTTCGGTGCGAACACAAACAGGTCAGTTACTACACAGACCCAGTCACAGGGCGCCATTGCGCCATATTTCCCTTTGAGGGTCCCCAAGCTGGCTCAGAGTGGGTGACGAACTTGTTCCAGTTTCTGTGCTTTAGCTCCTGCGTTGGTGGCCAGAACAGACGACAGGTTCAGCTGATCTTCACTCTGGAGAATGAGTGAGTGTCCGTTTCTTTTTAAGATAGTTCTTCAAGTTTTAGATAGCTTTTAATGGGTAATGTATTTGTAGGTTTAGTCTTTGACATTGGTTGAGGAAAAGTGCGTAAATGAAAGTTTTACAGCTTAAGTTATGCAATAAAACTTCTTCAAATGACTTTTTTAGATGAGGTTGGGGGGGGGGGTCTTACAAAGTGTAATGTGCTAAACCTATACAAGTTTTTCTTTAAAATTTTCCTTTGTTTTAATATGAATTTTTGACTGCAACATGGCTGCATTCTTAGCCACTGCTCCTGACACAATTCTCATCTTATTTTTTTTGTTTAAATTTGTTTTTCAGTGGTCAGATCCTGGGCAGAAGGGCCCTGGAGATTAGAGTATGTGCCTGTCCTGGAAGAGATCGTAAATCGGAAGAAAAGACAGCCCAGCCTGAGGTGACAAACATGGGCAAAAAGCGTAAGTTTATGATTAACTTTGCCATGGAGTTGCCACATTGAAAATGCTAAGAACTGCATCATATCTACCCCAAGGATGAATTTAAAAGATTGATGCTGATTTTGACCCCATATTACTGAAACAGTTTTTTTTCCCCTACTGGCTTTCAGGAAACAAGGGTCTAGGAATCTCTTGAAGCAGACTCCAATGAGAAATGAGCTTCTTTGGCAGAGATCAGTTTTCTCTCTGTGCTTTTGTGGTTACTAGCATGTTTTAGTTTTGCTATTATTTTTTACTGAAAAATCATAAGTCTGTATTCCACCTTGATGTTCCAGCCACACGGGTGACTCACAGCACTCAAATCACCAGGGTGGGTCCTGCTGCCAAAAAGAGGAAATTGGACAGTAAAGATGAGATATTTACCATCACTGTAAGTTTCATTTCTCATGTAAATGTAATAGAACTTCCCTTTCCACTTTCTTCATCCCTCTTTTCTTATAAAAGTATTGGATATTCACAGCTGGGTCTGAATATTCTTCAAAGTTGAAGCTTATGTGGGGCACATTTCAGTGTTGTTGTATTCTATAGCTGTAGTAATGAAGTAGGATCTTAAGACTTGTTCTGTAGGTGTTGAAATTTTACCTGAAATAATAAAATTGCTCTGTAGTTGTAAAAATTGTACCTTAAATAGTAAACTTGCTCCGTAGTTGTAAAAATTGTACCTCAAATAATGCAGGATTTAAAAAAATTCTCTGTTTCACTCCAGGTGCGAGGCAGAGAGAACTATGAAATTCTCTGCAGGCTGCGGGACTCCCTGGAAATGTCCAACATGTTATCGCCAGATCAGGTGAACAACTACAAACAGAGGCAGCTGGAGCTTCAGAAGCAGTGAGTACAGCTTTTTATTATTTAATTTATATTAATTTTTTTATTTATTTTTTCATATTGTATTTTATTTTTTATTTGGCAAAGTCATTATGTGATATAATATTTCTATATTTTTTGGAATTGATTTGTTAACTTGACTGGTATGTGTGGAATACCTAGATGTATTACTTGCTGCTGGCTGAAAGAGATAGAGAGGGTGTGCGAGGGAGAAGTGGTGAATCTTTCCTGTGTATAACTGACTGAGCACATTTGTCCTATCAAAACTTTTACTATATGTGATAATATGCAATATTGCAGAGTGCCCTATGAACGTTTAAACTTCATATAAAGCACCTGGCTTGTAAGTGTATCTGCATGTATGACATGTGACTGCAGGCTTGGTTGAGGTTTCACAATCGTGTTCATATGATCTTTAAAGAAATATATGTATTCAGTCATTGCTAATAGTGTGATTCTAAATAAAGACTGGAAATAATTTAGAGAATGTCTTTCCTTACATCCAGTAAATGAATAGAAAGAAAATTTTCCTTTTTTGCTTCAAAAAGCAAAATAGAATGCCCTTGAATTGTTTTTTTTTTTTAATCCCATTCTTCAATCTTATTGTCTTAAAACGAGATACAATAATACTAAAACTGCCATCTCTGTAGATTAAAAAAATTGTCAGCTATCTTATAATGGAAGTCCTCGAACATAGTTCGACTGAAAATGGAGGAAATTGTTTCGATGCAGTCAAATAACTCATTTCTGTTACATTTCACAAAGTCTGACAAGATTAATAATAGATTTCAATGAAGGAAATAATTTGATGATGAATTAATCACATTCTCTTTCTGGCTGCATCGTTACAGGTTCCTCGAAAGTGTCCAAATGTCACGTAAACGCCTCGTTAAAAAACCAAGTCAGCATCGTGAGAGACACCATGAACGTCGACGTCCGTTAAAACCCAAACCCAAACCATGCCGTGCAGATAAAGTTGGGCCACCATGAAATGGTGTAAATTTAGTGTTTTCTTAGTGGTCATTTTTTGCTAGAATAAATTATATTAATGTCACCAAGAACAAGAATGTCAATAACCTCTGCTGCTGTGTTTGCAACAAATATGTGGTTAATCGCAGCAAATTTGATCCTGTATTTCATTGGATACTTTTTCTGGCAATGACAGAGGTTGGAACATGAATACTGCTTCGTTTATTGGAATGCCATTTTTTTTTTCATCTGCATTAGAGCAGTGGATGTTTGATGAATTTCCTTGGATTCGTTTCCAGGATAGTAAAATTGACTGAACCAATTCCTAAATATTATGTGAGGATATTTCCAAAGGTCAAACTTCCAGTGTGGTACAAGGTCACTCCGTCAAAAAAATTCCGGGTTATTTAACCCAATGAAGGTCAAGTTTTATAATGCTTCAAGGGACGTAGGTCCATATGTGAAAAATGAGATTTTATGGAGGACAAATGATTGATCTGGGTAGATCTGAGATTTACCGCGATTTTAATTGCACACTTGACTCAGTCTGATTATCATTCATTTCCCTACATATCTTTGGGATATGATAATGTGCATAATATCAAACGCACAAAAAAAAAAGCAATTACATGTGCATGGTACCCAGATTTTTGTTTCTTGGACCATTGACTATATTTGGTTTTGTAAGCATCGTAGAGTTACATTATATGTGGACATCTTTACTTAAAATATGTTGTCTAGAAATATTTTGAATACTGCTAATGCCAGTCATTTATTTTTTTAATTGTAATGACAAACTCATGAGTTATTTAAGTCATTTTTTGCAGCTCAGTAATATTAAAAACCATATTTGAAATATTTCCAGTGTGATAAATTTTATCCTTATTTGTTGGCTACATCAACATGTCATATTTATTCAATCTTTTTGTTATAAGATATTAGTTTTGTTTAATTTCTGTTAAAAGTAATTTTTTAAAATTTCAATACCATTGCATGTTAAATAGTAGTGCTCTCTACATTTCGTAGAATTTCATGAAAGGGACCAATTTCTATATATATGCCTGCATCATGGCACGATATTTTTTTAAAAGTTGATCACAGGTGACCAAATGTGTACATTAAGTATGTAATTTGGCTAATTTTTCACCTTTTGTAATAATGAGCTTAGTGCCTTATGATGAGTGATGTGCTTTTTTGGCTCTGAGTCAAATGTCAGACTCCCGGTGAAACTGTTCCGATGATAGTAAATCCCAATTTTTTTACACCTGTGCATTGGGTATAGAACAATTTTATTGAGGCCAGTATTTTGAGAGTGGCATTAGTCAGTGTAAAAACATAAACACACACACACACATTCGCGTACACGCACACAAAGCTGAGTGATGCCATGCAGCATATGTCTCCCGTATAATGCTCGTGTCTAGTCCTTACAACAACCCCATACCAGTGGACCTACCTCCACCCTATCATTGAGCACTTCTCATTATATAGAGCTCTCCACTGCCCATTCCATCTTCAAATGAACCTTTGGAGCCCAACAGTCTCAAATCCCCCCCAATTCCCATCCCCAAAGATTATTGTGCTAGCACTATCCTACACACACATACACACACACACACACAGACACACACACACACACACATACACACACACACGGGCCCTTTTTCCATTAAAGGAATAATAACTCTTCGTTTTGGCCAAAAAATGAAATTTCCTGGAGTAAACAACAATTTTCCCATACTTACCAATGGTTAATGAATCCATTTTTGCATTCAAAGTTAGTCCCTGTTTTTTTTTCTAAAAAGTTTGGTTTTTCGTTAAAATCTCTTAAGAGATTATAACAGAGTACAGCCATCAATGGAAGTCACGTGATCTGAAGACAAGCTCAGATATCAGAATAATAGCTATAACTGCTGTTTTTGTGGCAAAACAGAATATATTATATTTCTATGAGTTGTTAACAATGTTTTTATTGTGAAATAAAGATATCATACGAAGAGTTATTATCCCTTTAAGTGGAGTGCATAGTTGTGTAGTCAGTACCAGGAACACTTTGTGAGGTCTAAGAGCACATTTAGAACAGCAGACTTAACAGATCTGCAGATCAAGTGTGGCACCCCCCTAAAAAGTTTGCAGCTTAATTCCTGATTAGACACTGAATATATTATCCGCAGGGATTATGCAACAAGCATTCAAGTGGGTCGGCCATATTTGATCCGTGGATCTGTTAGTCCACTGTTCTGAATGCCTTCTTAGTTTGTGATTTTGCTTTCTTTAGTGGAGTTAAAGGCTGTGTGGAGTATAGCTGGCTATGTTTAGATGACTCTACGTAATAGTCAGTTTTTTAATTTGTCAGTCTCTCAGAGTGTACTGGTACAGAATGAATCACTTGAGTAGATCTTTCAAATGAAAAGGGCCTTTGATATACTTGATCCCAGAGGGTCTCAATAATGAGTGGTGTTATTTATTAAGAATGAAAATGAAACTGTTGATTTGTTGTTTTTGTTGTACACAGTTGTCTGATTGTGTTTTGTAAACTTTTTCATCTTTGTTAGGTATATTTAAGGGTGTTAAATGTGGAATTGATATTTAAATATTATTTCTGTATATTTAATTTTAGAATTGTAAGTGCAAGTTGAGGATATTTCAATTATTTTTTGTATATACTTGTATGATCATAGTAGAAAATTGCTTCCATAAATAATGTACCATAGATAAAGTAAATAAATATTTGCACAAAGGGCATACTGGCAGTTAAATTTTCACTTTTGAACTGTATTAATGTTTTTTTAAATAAAATTATAAATTATGTCATTAATCACCATTGTAATTGAACATAAAAACACAGGTAACGACGTGATCAACAGTCTACTGGTACTGTGATATTGTTCAGTTGTGGAAGACAGTTGAAAGTTTGCTTGAAAGAGTGAGACTGGTTTTTACAATAATATTATGAAGTACCTGAATGAGAGGTATGAGAATGACATGAATATATTTTCATTATCTTGTTTTCAACAGAAATATTTAAAATCACCACCTGCCAGAAATATTTACTTAAAATTGCAGTTGTAGAAAAGGATTACTTCAGTATCCACGCATTCATTATCACCCACGAGAACTCGGCAGTCCAACCAATTCATTGATATTTTCTTAATTAAATTGTGGTTTATTTATGTATTTATTTTACTTTTATTGTAGACCCACATTGTCCAGGATTCCCAGCGGTTTGGCCAACCTCAGTGGCAGTTTCTCACAACAGCTCACGGAGGGTAGTCTGAAGCCACCGCCATTGCCCTTCTCCAGCATGCCTAGTCTCACACGTGGAGACACACAGCCGGTTTCCAGCACGCAGAAAGAACTTGTCAAGATGGAGCCAGACACTGTCATCCCAGTTCCCAAGACAAGCCAATGTCAAGTTTCCTCTCAAGGAGAAGTGGCTGACATGACAATTGCAAAGTAGGTCTTCTTTATAAGATGAATTTGTCAAACTATAATTTCACCATTTGCAAATATGCTGTGTATTGTACTTGAAAAAAAATCTGAAAGTTTATTGTAGTTTTCTGTCATGGTATGTATTTATCACACTACATTTACACATTTTTCTAAAATTTATTAATTTCTCCCCTCTCTCTCTCCCTAACAGGTGGTTGACATCCTTGGGGTTTGCTGCCTATGCAGACAACTTCCACCAGATAGGTTTGACCACCATGTATCAGCTGGAAGACTGCAGCCTACAGGTACAGTAAGATAATGTGTTTCACTTGTGAGAGGTCTTAGCATTTAATTACGATACTGGGAACATTACTCTGTTTCACAAGTCCGCTTCCTGATGTTCAGTTGATTTTTACAGCATGAGGGGTCCATTCAGGTGACTCACTGTAGTGTTACTGTTTAAATAAAAATAAATCATCCACATTTAACATTTCCCAAATTCATTTCAAGGATATATTTTAAATAAGACATTGAAATACCACAATATTCCTACTTGTCACTTATTCCTGTATTTAGTGTTTATAATTTATGAGGTTGTCATATTGACAACATTTTAAGGTACTTTGAAGCTAAAAATGTGATGGTGTCATAAAATCAGAGAAAAAATTAATATGCTCTTCTTTCTGTTCAGGACCTGGAGAAACTGAGCATCGGCACAGATCACAGAAACAAAATTTGGAAAGCTCTGTCTGCTTGGAAGACGCGGAGAGCTCAAGGTGGCGCTGGTGCCACACCCCGAGGTCTCAGTGGTGCCAGTGATGCCTCAACAATCAGTCTTGCCTCGCAGATCAGTGGAGGCTACAGTCCCGGCGTATTTGAGGTCACACGATACACGTTTAAGCACACAGTTTCCATCAGTGATGACCATCCCTACAGTAAATGATGTTTTCGTGTTCTTTTGGTTTTAAAAAAAAAAACAAAAGCTGTGGATGTTCTGAAAGATCTCAAGCCTAAAGATGGATTGACCAGCTATGGAAAGTGACTTTGTATATTGTCATTGACCATAGCAAGTGTCATGGAAGCTGTGATGCTTGCCCTCTCCAACACTCACTCTCATTCTTCCAGTTGTTTTAGATTATGAATCTGGTGGGAGGAATGTCAGCAGAGTAGAGAACTGAACACAATTTTGCGTTGTTAGAGGAGCAGTGTTTTTACCACGTCTTTACAGAAGGTCATCAATGCTCCAAAAATCGCAACAATTCAAGGTCATCAACATTATATGATGTCAATATGAAAAGTTTTTCAATTATATATTTCTCTATCCAACCTTGTGTTGAATAGAATCAATACATATTGTATATATTTACTACATTGTTATCTGTTTAGAAAGTTCTTAGACACAGAACAAATATTGTTTTATAATACCTTGAATATAGCACCATACTAGTGGAAATTTGTATTAAAGTGCACATTCAAATATTAGTGACATATAAGAAGCACTACATTGTAAAGGCTTAGTAATAATATGGATTATGTAAAACCCATTCAAAACCTCGAGATATTTGATGTGAGGGTGGCTGTCTCTTCCCTCCCTCCCTCACTCCTTCCCCTCTTCTCTTTCTTTTCTCTACCATCTTCACTCCTACTGGATGTGTAATATTTTGTGTGCTATTTTCGCTGTTTTTACAGAAAGGTGCTCTTTTATAAATGAAACGTCGCTGATTTATTAACAATTTACTTAGAGCTGGTATCTTGGTACAGTGGCTGTAGTAATCCAGTCTTCATCAATAAGAATTTTGTTCATGTAAGATGCGATAGTTGAACCGTATTGCAGCGAATTATCAATTAAATACACTGCTCTCTGCGTGCTGGGTGCGAGTTTCTAAGGGCAGTTTAGTACTCCAGTTATATACCCTGCTACAAACGTGAAGTATTGGTAATATCTTTTAGAATTGAGTATGTTTTTCATTTCTGGAGACACAAAGATACCAGATGAAAGTAATTGAAATATGCAGTGTATGTACTAGAATGGCTGTTTAAGACGTAATGTAGTGCCTTAATTCTGTTAGACATGGATTACATGCTGAGGGCAAGCCCCTGACATTTGAAAGATGATTTTACACAAAGTGTATTTGAAAACATTTTGTCAATAAATTGCTAATGAATTAGCTTAGTTGTTCATCGTCATCCCTTTTGAAATTTAAAGGTACAAACAAAACTAATTTCACGGATTATATTCCCTAAAAGCCTAACGTGTCAACGTACATTTTTTAAAAGTAAACCATTGTCAAACTTTTGAAGCGTGCAAGCTATAATTTGATGTGGGCTTTCATCAAATGAGCTCTGTTAGTTCTGAACCTCTTTGCACATGGATGCAAGTAGTTTCCCATTACAACCATTGTATGAATTAAAAAATATCAAATACGCTTGCGATGAAACCAATTACCATAACACTAATATTTCACATCTATTCATTGTTAATCTAAAATAATTTCGTCGCATTCTAAATGTGTATATTAATGAAGGGCGCGTTACCCATAAAATAAAATTTCAGGTGGATAGTTTTTACACCGTTTGTACTCCGTTTATACCACAATGTATAAAACTTACAAAAAAAAAAAGAAAAAGAAAGGAAGAAAAAATGAGGTTACTGGAACATATTGTATCGGCGCAAGACACGTGTGCAGAATTGTAACTTATATAACATCGTGCAAGTATTTAGCCCTAGTATTAGCAAAACGCGTTAAAGAGTTTTTTTTTTTTAAATACAAGACAAGTCACTGCCTTTAAGTCGTTTTCACTGAGGTTTATTTCATTTTGTGTGGAAACAAGACGTTAGTTCAAATCTGAAGAGTGAACCTGACGATTATTCTTACACTATTCTAGTCGTAAATCTAAGTCTATAGTCCACATTGTATTAGCATATATATAAAGTTGTCGCCACCCTGATGTGATGTCGAGTCTTTCGCCGTATCAACCAACAAATCGCTGGTCATCAATTTATAGATTCTATGGAACGCAGGGTGAGCTTGACGTGTTCCAAGCTTACTTGCATCCCTCCGTCGTCAGGTACTTTTTCTCTGGATTAGGAACATATTTCCATTGCCTGCCGAAATTGCAGAAACCACCCAACTTGAAGCCACTTGTTGTATTAATACCTGTGGAAGAAACGAAATAGTATACGGGCAATACGGACGTATAGCATGTAAGTGAATGATCGTGCATGTTAAAGCATGCGCTCACGCACGTATTCACAAAAATAAAAGAGAAAAAACACCATTCTTTAGTTATCCACTGGCACTACGCCTGAAATCGCACAACAATACACAAATGCTGTGCATGCTTTATGCACGTGCATCCACATGCACACAGACATGCACAACACATCCACGTGCTCTAACACGCACAAGTCCACAAGTACGTGGTCTCTCATGCACAATAACACATCCACATGGTCTGATACGCACAAGCACACGAACACGTATACGTACGCACACGCGGCACATACGCACATTAGGGTCGTAAACCCAGATAATGTTTTAAAGCAGCTGTGGAAGGCTTGGTATATATGCAAACAAACATTAATATGCTATTTTTGCCGTCTGAAGTACCCCACTAGAATCTGACTAAATGCCTGATGGACAAACAAAGGACACTACATATAAGGACGAAAAAAAAATTATTAATGCTCCCCTCCCATCGCAGCCTTGCACAAACACGTATACGCACACGTGCACAGGCAATGACAAACAGCATGCTGCCCACACCTGTACCTACCTCTAAGAAGATATGCAGTTTTCTCAGCCAGATTTATTTCTCCACAGCTAGCTAACATTGGCTTTATTCTGTGGCGCTCACGGAATGCCACTTTAGATCCAACTTCCATGCCATCTGGAGCCTGGAATTGCGTGTATTCTCCGTTGTAACAGTTAAAACTATTGGCGCAGTTTCCATTGTAAGATCTTTAACCATTGGTGCAGTACTTTTGTGGAAGTTAAAACAATTGGCGAATTTTTTTAAGTAAAAGATAAAACTGTTGGTCTATTCTCTGCAACTCTCAAATAGTTGAATTTTTTTATTCGTATTGCATAAACGGGGGTGGTCAGTGGAGGGAAGGGGGCAGGCGCAGATTAATACCCTGGTATAAATGCCCTTTTAAACGTGTCTGACCCTCTCTCTCTCTCTTTCAAATGTATTCACGTACCTTAAACACCTTGTCCACTCGTACGGTGTATTCTACAGTTTTCAGTGTTCCCCAACTTTTGGGTTCCTCGCTGACGACACTGGAACCCTCCACATACCCCTTGATGACTGAATTAAAAAAAATTTATATTTGTGTGTGTGTGTGTGTGTGTGTGTGTGTGTGTGTGTGTGTGTGTTTCGATCCTAAAGATAGTAAAAATGTACGTCTTTCAAATACAAGGAAATTATCATGAAATTCAATACTAATTGAATGATAGAAGAGCTGAAACAAAATTAAAATAAAGAAATGAATAAACAGATTTATTTATTTATTTATTCATTTATTAATTAATTTATTTATATGGAGTGACATAAACTCCGTTTGAAAAAAAGCTATCTGTAAAAGCTTGTTTACTTACTGAAATCCATCTCTGCTGGGCAGAAATAGTATGCCTTGTCCTCCACAAATTCCCCTTTGTCATTGAGATATCCCCGCAGCTCTAGGGTACGCGGGCATGAGACAAGGCACCCAGAGGCCTGGAGCACACAACATCCAAGCACGAGTAAGGCTGAAATTGCAAACATTTTCAGTGGCGCAACGAGAGAAACTTAACCCAACGCAAGTGTCTCTGGCAGATCCGTGACTGTGAGATGCGTCCAGTGAGGTGTTGTTTATATGGCAGTGTCGCTGTAGTTAATTTGGGTCAAATGGTGGGATTATTTATGATCCCGTTTAGTTTGGTGAATATCATCATAATTACCGGCAATTTTTTATTACGAGAGAAAAAACAAGATGCAATCACCCGAAAGAGAAAAATAACGTGTATATATAATCTATTTCTGTTAAATGTTGGCCTGTTAATGAAAAAATAGGATAATGAGGACAAGGATAACTAGAATCGACGCCATTAACAATAGGATAAATGTCCATAATTTTCACAAGACAAGACGTTTATTATAATATTAAACGTTAGGACGTTTATTAGCTATAATGATATGATCTATATAATTATGTCCCGCGCCCCATATCGGCGAAATAGTCAAAAGGGCAAAATTTATGATCATTGAGCAAACTGTTAATAGAACACTGAACGGAAATGGAACGAAAGAGTCTAAATAACCGGACCAGACACATTTTAAAGGGCACGACAATCTCTGACATATATCATGTAACGAAATTGCATAGAAATTTAAACGTACATATTTATGACTGATAATTTGACAATCAAGTTATACTTCTATGGAGTTTTAGGAGATTGTACGTATCCAGTTCTCAAAACTGAACCTCGGTTTTTGGGCATGTTGGTAATCCTAATAATAATGGATTTTCACGTTCACTTTGCACAAACATTTGGTGGTGACTATGGCTCTATTCCCAGAGCTTTTAGATCGATCTATCCCCGCGGGGAGTCTCACTAGATTACCGTCAGATAATCTGGCTGAAATGTCCGTCCCGCCTACTACAAGCTGTAAGGGGGTAATTAACTTTCGTGTCCGCCCGGCTGACAGCTATTTAGCCTGAACCCCCAGGGAGTTAGGTCGATCTAAAGTACAGTAGATCGATCTAATCTCTGGAAATGGGGTCTACGATAACACAATTTGCAATATTTAAGAATTAAGAGCCAACAACATAAATGTAAGACAAATTACCTATGGAGTTTAAGCTCCTCGAGCTGTTAAGGGTGTCCTGTACGCGTTTGAAAATGTCACAAAGTCATATTTTCTTTTTCGGTCGCATAAGCAGGTATTTTTGCATTATGTTAGATTCGTTTGGTATTTTGAAGCCATTTTATGTGGTTTTTAGATTCCCGACCAAGGTGACAGTTGAGCGTTTGATTGATAGAAGAAAGAAGACAAGATTCATGCAGCATGACCAATATTTTCAAATTGCCTCTCCGAGTCACGGTCACATTTTCAGTTTTGTATATAGTGAACTAATTTGCTTGTGCAGCAATATAATATATAATATTTAGATTGAAAAAAAATCAGTGCAAATAAATGCAAAAAGAAAAGAAAAACTCCGTGTGCTCTAATGTATTCATTTATTTCGCTCTGGCAAAATTGGATAAAAAACACAGTAATTTTTGTTTTTCTCAATGTGAGCATACGCCTGTCGTCGCCCTTGGTACCAGTAAACTGACATCGATTTTCCGCCATATCAACCAATAGACGCTGGTCTCTCATGTAAATTATGCTGATACTCAGGGTGAACAAGGTGTGTTTCGAGCTTATTTGCATCCTTCAGTCGTGAGGTACTTTTTCTCAAGTTCTGGGACGTATTTCCATTCCTTGCCAAAGTCACACATGTTGGCCAACTTGAAGCCACTTTGTGTCTTAACGCCTGAATAAGAAATGGTGTAGAGGGTAAATAATTATGAATACCTTGCGCACAGCTCCCATTTTCTACGTAACTAAAACTGATGGGACGATGTATAGTTAAAAGATTTGATGAAGTGATTAAAATAAATTAAAACTTAAAGTCCAGGAAAGAATTTCATAAGTTCTTATATGCACTTAAAGTTACAGTAATATTTTCCTAAATAAGAGCATGAACTTTTAATCACAAATTTCTTAATGAGATATTGAAAAAGACTAACTATCGCCCACACTGATCCACCCGTACCTACCTCTAAGCAGGTATGTAGCGTCCTTCGTGAGCTTAACTTCCCCACAGGAAGGCAACAGAGGATCTTCCCTGTATTTCTCAGGGAAAATCACGGTGGACCCCACAGTGACGGACGCCGGAGCCTGGAATGTATTGATTAATTACCGTACAGCTACCCCATATCAGGAGTGATTTTTCACTAGAAATTCACAGACAATCCTCTAATTTATGACAATTTTTATACTGTTCATCGAGCATTTTGGTATGGAATTAAATTCGTCACTCGGCTAGTCTCTGATAAAGAGTACAGAACACTTACTGTCAGACTAAGCTCTGTCAGGTAGAGGCACCGTTGATTGCCATTGTTAAGATTTCAAAAACTGAGTAAGGGAAAGGAGCATGCATATTTTTCACTAAAAATCTTAAGTACCTTTAACACAGAGATGGGCAAACTGATATTGTTTGAGGAAAAAAGAGATTACTCTAATTGGATTCTCTCTCTCTCTCTCTCTCTCTCTCTCTCTCTCGTACAGTACCTTAAACACCTGGTCCACTCTCACGGTGTATTCCACAGTTTTCACTGATCCCCGCTTTTGGGGTTCCTCACTGACGATACTGGAACCCTCCACATACCCCTTGATGACTGAAGTTGACAAAATATGAAAAAATAATAAAATCACTTTTTTTTTGTTAATTTCTATGATAACTATATCATATAATTACAAATCATACATTACAAAATGCATTTATGGGGGATGGGATTATAAGTTTCGTAGACAACGCTTGTACCAGTTGGAATTGAATAGATTCGTGGTTTATATACAATGTTGGATATTACATACCGCATCCGCGTCATCAGTGATGTCATTTCATGGTGTTTTCCAAACTGAGAATGTCCATTGTTTTTGTGTAGAATACTTTACATGAAAGCAGTCGCACTTTCAAAACAATACTATAAGTTTCCCTTCTCAACTCTCTAGTCACTCATTTAAACAATTTCACACCCGTTCAATAATTTGCTTTCGAATAATGGCTCTTGAAGGAAAGTTGCCAAAGTCATGGCTAACGCACATTTCCTTGGGTACCTAGATCACAATCTCATGTGATGTACGAAATCGTAACTAGCATAAAAAGTTATCTATTAAACTTACTGAAATCCATTTTATCTGGGCAGTAAGTAAAAGACTTGTCCTCCACAAATTCGCCCTTGTCATTGACATACCCCCGCAGTACCAGGACCTGGGGGCAGAAGTAGGTGCACGCAGAAGCCTGGAGCACAAAAACTCCAAGCAGAAGTAGGGCCGAAACCGCAATCATTTTCAGTTGTGCAACGAGAGATCTTAACCCAACTCAAAGCTGTTTGGGAGATCAGTGACTGTGAAATACGCCGATAGAGGCGTTATTTATATGCATACCCTTTTGTCGCTGATGGCAAATTTCAATTTCATAATCATACTGTCGATAATAGGTTTTTGTTTGATCGCCGACTTTTAGATAGAACGATATAGTTGGCTAGTAAGGGGAAATGTGCAGAATTGCTCAATTTCGTTCTCATGTCAGCATGTTAATTTGATAACATTTTAAAATGATTTTCAATGATACAATCATTTTTAATGGACGTCTAGCCGAGGGTATACCCTTAGGTTAAGTGAAAAAAATGAGCTAAAACAACTCCCAGAAAGAAAATAAATTACATAATTACAATACACATTTTCGGTTTTGTAACAGTATCTTAATGAAAACAAATCACCCAGAGTGGGCATTTGTGCAACCGCCGGCTATATACTGTGATGTAGCGGGATTGGATATCCCTCCCCCTCTGGCAAAAATATTGATGGTAATATTTCAGTATCACTATTTCTGAAATATCCCAATAGCACCGTACACATGTACTGAGCGACATGGCTAGCAAGGTGCGCCGCCATACTAAACACTATTGCCAGGAGAGACACAATAATCAATGCTTGTTTTCTGCAAAACGAGACTTTACGAGAGCGTAACAAACCTCGTCTCCCCCATTGTTCTCAGCACTCCATTTATTTCGACAAATGAGAGAGCGGCACAACTTTTTGCATTTACCAATCTTCGCTAGTTAAAATTGTTAATGGCAAATTCCACTCTAAATGCTGTTTCTTGATTTTTATGATAAAAACCACTTTGGGGGAACACTATGATCTGAAAAATAGAAACTTTCGGATGAAGTTACATGTTTTCATTATTTAAAAGAAATAAAAAAAACTTAAGTAGGGCCTTTGGTACTGTACCTTACTTAGTACAAGGAGGTGTGTACTGTACAATACAGTGGAAATATTACTATTGGAGGGGTGTCTGATGATATTTCCAATTCAGGCTATTGCTCCTATTATCGAACCTTATCATTACTTTATCAACTAACGCAGCAAAAAAAAAAAAAAAATTAACGAGGGTTTGATAATGACATCGCTCTTTGTAGTCATGTTTGCAGTCTGATTGCTCCATTACAGTCTGCAATTCTGCTATTTAGATATCAACAGTCATTATGTATACAAAGGCTTATTATGGTCAGCAAATTGAAAAATATCCATGATATCATTAACATACTGCGACGAATCCCAAATTGTTGAACCCTATATACTCGGTATATTGTTGTCTGCTCTGAAGAACGTTTTGTATGAAGATACCACTATTGACAGTAAATAAGAATTTTTCCGGGTATTTCTGACGTCATTTTGATCACTATTCACTATCAGTAACCTGACCAAGAAAGCAAAAATGATTACAGGGATAATAACAGTAGGCAACAGAATACAAATAAAAGTGTATTTGTAAAGCGCTAAAGGCAGAGTTATCAGAGAGTCAACAGGAGCTAGTGTGGTCAGAAACATTGAAGCGACCACATCACAATGCATTTTAATACAGAAGAATGAAATAAAACGAAAGGCAAAAGCCGTCAAAATTTATTTTCATTCAGTAACATAAAACATGCAACAGAAGTTTTCATTTGTGGTATTTACTTAGTCGTCCATCACTTTTCGACCAATCTTAGTTTTAAAGCATCATCAATGGAAATGGAAGATTTTCCAGAATGTGTCAAAAACGGACCTGTTTGTTATAAAGGCTAGGTCCATCTTCATATGACACTTTCAAGAAATATCGATTTCTATCGATGAAACTGCACGTACCTTTGCTACGTATAAAAAATAATAGCGAAATAAATGATATTTCAGTAAGAAATTATATGAAAATATAGAAATTTTCATTGTTATCACATCGGATGGTTTCATAAATTGCAATCCCTCTTGAGGAGACCACACTGATCTCCTGCTGAAGTGAATCGAAAGGCATACGAAATTGAGCATAAATCATTGTTTACACATAACATGAGTACGGTATTTATTTCTAACAACATCTTTCAAAATCGAAATAAGGTCGGCACGTGCATTTCAAATCCGAACGGCCGAGATTATTTCCGGTCGTTCACGACTACAGATCACGTGCTCTAGATTGAAATGGACCAACATCAAAACTAAACGAAAAGCTCTGAAACTTGCAAGAACAGTTAGAAATTATACACCAAATATCTTTGATGCAGAAAATATCATGTCTGCTACCGTATAACCTTCAACGACTGAAGAAATATCCAACATTGTGTGAACTGCATACTAAGATGTCTACTCTGGTCCGTTCTGCAACACGAGTCGCAACTAAAAACCCAGTATACAGAAAGACCAATATTAATAGTTACAGTAACCGCAGAATCAATATAAAGATTTATGTTCGTGCTACCTTTTTAGCAATACAAGTCTTGGCTACAAGTAAAATAGCAATAGTCAATATAATACATCATTACAAAAAGTTCTGTACAATGATGTGTCCATAATGTGGTCTAAACTACGTTCAAAGACACAAAAGCTACACCCAAGGAAAATGCTTCAAAAATTAAATATAAAATAAATACAAAATGCTTGCACCAAAACTAATTTTCTACAAGTACAGTATATATAAAGGATCCAATGCGTATTCACTTCTTTTAAATGGAAATAGCGACTTTTATTAAAAAAATTGATGCTCTTTATCCAATATTTTTTTATATCTTCCTGTTCAAACTCAATGGTTTTCATACTTTAGAATGGAGGACCCTTGAGCAATATGCGCATGCGTGACCAAACCAGATGCGCAGTCTGGCTTTGTTGGTCCCGCTGATGCTGAAACGCCATCCATTTTAAAGGTTGCTTTCAGTCAAACCATCAGAAAATAATTTCTGAAAAATATTATTATGAAAAGCAGGTGCACAGATTTACCCAAATCGAAGCGCACGATCAATGAAAGCATAAATCACAAGTTCAAACAATCCAGCTTGGCAGCTCCTTTTACCTCTCCGCGAAAAAATCTCGTTCTCGATGTAGTAATTTCGCCGATATACACCAGTGGAATTGCGTAATGGAGATTTCTACGCGGAGAGGTATTCTACCAGTATATCATCTCATGTCGCATAATCGCCTACGATAATCCTTCCTGCCAAACCTTGTCTTTAATATACAAAAAGCTACGGAACTGATTCATTGTTTTGCATTTTTAAAATAATTTGTCAAGTATTGTTAACCTAATTTATCAAAGTAAGTTAATGAATCTAAATTATATATTTCCCATAAAAGTATTAAAATAAAAAACCCGTCCCTTAATCTAATTGTCAAGCGACACATTTATGAACGATGAATCAATTGCAAATTTTCCCTATAAAAACTAACTTAACTTTGTGCTAAGAAACATTCTGTATTGTAAGGTTGTTTTTATTCAAAAGAAGAGTTTTCAAGTGTAGAATTATTTCTTTGCACAAAGATAACTTCGTTCATGTTAGCCATTAAAGCATACTTCCTCGATAATGTTCTTTTTACAGAGATAGACCTTTGTTGTTGCTAAGCAACAGTCTGCGCGCGCAAGCGTTTTTCAAGGTTACCAGCCAGCTTTGTCCATTTCTCTCTTCATTTGGCAGACTGCGCATGGGCCACACAGCTCCATGGCAAGAGAATCCCAGCAGATGGAGCCCTGATCGACAAGAAAACATACGTCTTCAAAATATGAGTAAAATAAAACATATTGCAAAAGTGTTGTTATGTAATCAGTTCTTTATTGATTTTAAGAGAAACTGACAAATATATCGCATTTTAATAAGACGGTAAGTAACGCGGGAACCATTTTCACAAAATGCTTCAAATAGCAGGACTGAATAAAAAAAAGACGCAGCCTTTTTTTTTTTCTTAAATTGATCTGGAAAGCCCAGGCCCGTAGATAGCAACTGCAAAAGGTTTTTTTCTGAAAATGTGGACCTTTTGTCATGAAAACTTAGTTTATCTAGATCAAATTTACCCAGAGTGGACCTTTTCCCAGCAAAAGGGGGGGGGTCTTTCGAATCCCCCGAACCCCCCTGGCTACGGACCTGGCTAAGGCTATCATTTCAATTTCTCAAGGCATTCGTTTCAGGTATGCCTTGTTATAATGAGAAAATTGACGATATTTCAGGAAAAGTTCGTTGCTCATAATTAGCTATTTAGAAGTCTACATCGACATAAAAAGCACCAGCTAGAAGGGCCTGTGATTGAGAGAGAGTCCAGACACTTTTAATCTTAAATAAAGTAAAGGAATTTTTTGAGGCTACATATTTCTAGTATGAAAAACACTGAACGAATGAAGCGCTGGTCCATAATTAGCCTTTCTTTTCAAGTACCATTTTGTTAGTATACTGGCGAAGAAAGTTTGCAATATTTTACAATGGCTGATTTTCAATGTCGAATGCACGCAAGGTTTTACCTGAATACCCCTGAGCATGCGCAGTTTAGTTCTCATGGCCACGACACCTAGCGGGCAGCAGAAAGGCATGATGTAGTGCTCGCCCATCTGAGCCGAGGTACGGCACAACAGGCACGGGAAGCAGAACAGTCCACATAGACCTGGAAGAGACGATACACGAATTCGTTAATATAGAAATGATTGATTTTATCATTTCACTTTTGTCCAGTAGGAAAAAGCCATTGATACCCTTAATCTATGTTACAGTGCGGCTAATTTATTTGATGAAGTTAGATGTTATGTCCACGTTTGTACCTTATTTGTGAAGTAGTTTATGAGAAATCTGGAACTTCCATAGGCGTACTGCTTATCGTGATAATAGAATATAAGGAGAATTTTTCAAAAAGTTAAATGAAAGATATGAATTGACAAATACATAAACAACACTAGACAGTATATTTAAAAGGATTGTTTTTACTTCATTTCCAATTACATTAAATTTCATTTGATCACCTACTATTATTCAGGACACACGTCTTTGTGATGAATAGATATATACACATAGGCATTGTTTTAGTTGTTCTTGGGAAGGATCACCTATCGCATTCAAAACTGATGCATTTTCTAACACATTAGTCATACTAGTTCTACCTATACGTACATGTTGTGATGTCCTCGAAGCAGCCGAAGATGCCAGTCTGCCAGTCATTGGGGGCGTTGACTGTGATAGTCCCGCCTTGTGACGTAATACTCGTCACGACTGTGGGCTGTGACGTCACTGTCTGCTGAGCCATTCTGAATATAAAAACAAAAAACAAACCTTTAGAACCATGATGAATGTAATTGATATTCCTGCCTTGGGACGTATTACTTCTCAAACCTGTGTTTAATATTTGGGTTGCGGGTTGTTATGTCAGCGTCTGCTGAATCATTTTGAATTAAGTGAAAAAACAATCCCTGATTGATGTAATTGATATTACCGCTTTGTGACGTAATGCGGGTTCTGATGTTTTGCAAGGCAATTCTGAATTAGGAAAAAATATAAAGTTAGCTCCCTGATAAATAGGCCTATCGCTGGATCCAAGATGACAGTTCTAAAATCTGTTGTTGATGTATCTTATTGAGAAAAATTAACAAGACACTCATTCTCTTGAGAAACTGATACCGCATTCATATATTGGCGTTGATCGAGGAAGACAAAATGAAACCGGTTTTGAGGCAATTGGCATGTTTAGATGCCCTTTTCCTTAGCCAGCAAAACATTGAGATTAACAATTTATGAAGAGCTTAAAATATCAAATCATATGGGGCATTTGAAATCAAATGGTAAAACAATTTGCCACAACAAAATTAAAGAACGGAGGCAGAGAATTCTGGTCAATGTACGCGGTAAGAGGACAGTTTTTGAGGGGCAACCCCATCGTAATACATGTCTATGCCCCATGAATGAAAATGATTGCCAGAAGGCGATTCTATGAAATAATGCACAGTACGATTGAGCTCGGCGTATTCCTTGAGATTCCTACAATTCAAATTAAGAGAAGGGGACAAAAAGGCCCTTTTGAATTTGGGCATGTCCAGGTCCGTACATCCGAGTATCATCACTCACGAAGATACCACAGATGTTGGACATTTTCCCGTCGGGAGAATAAAACACTAAAATCTGCTCAATATTCTCGCGGCGTCCACAATTTTATCTAGGGCCTACTTAATGAGTTCTGCACAGAATGATAAGTGTCCACAATATCAAAATATTAGCCTGTCTCTCAATCTCATCTTCCCTCTGTTCATCATCGCACAAAAAAGATCTTTAGTTACTTTATCGACATTAACAGGCCATAGGTTGTATACGATATGATTTTCATAATGGGGGCCAGCCATCAAAAATGCATTATGCCGCGACTGATCTCTCTCGAAGTGCCTTTCACTGTTGAAAAATATGCACAAAGTCTATATAACCATTAACCTGAAAACATATGCTAAACGTATCCCTTGAATATTTCAGATGCGCATTATCTGTCTAGGTCATTTGAAACCATATGACGTGTTAAAAAGTTGATTTGTTATACAGTCATGAGTAATAGAGACTGCTTGTAACACAGTGGATTCTCTGCGTGAATAGACAGTAGAATTATACAACAGAGATCTCACTGGAAATCGAACGTAAAAATCCTTATTTTTTATATTTATGCTTATTTATCCGCCCGATGGCGCTTTATTATTGTTTATTTTACTGTGAACCAGACTACACCGAACACTCGTGAAAAATTGGCCATAAAATTCGTGCGAGGACAGCTATTTCTGTTTGGGTATGCATGCCTCTACCCGAGCTGCTCCAAGGTGAAGTCTATATTTACAGATGAAGGCCACTCATTTAATGTATCTTTCTTGGCCTTTTCTACTCGTGGGTCACTTCATTGTAGAGATAAAAATACAGTGGATGTTAAATTGACTACGAGTGTATTTTGGACACCGTATATTTCGTATATTCTGGTGATTTGGGGGTATACGTACACACTCGAGCTCACGTGATCCAGTCCTTGCGACAATCCATCTGTCTGTTTGTCTGTCTGCTAGTCTGTTTGTCTGACTGTCTGTCTGTATGCATGCATTCTTGCCAGTGCATATATATGAAAAAAAAAGATGCACACACTGTATAGCTAACATGTTTACTCGACTAGAACGTCTCCCCAGGTGGTAAATGAGTCACTGTAAAGAAAAGTGCTCTCGGCTCAAAATAAGACCTAACAAGTTGTGTGAAAGTGATAATACTTGAGACGGCTGAGGAAAAAGTCATTAATAAACAAGACTTGCATTGCAGAGATGCAGGTATCGCTCAAGGTAATTTTCACCTACAAATATTACACGGGATTTTTTGTGTACCTTTATACGTTATTTTTATCATTCAAACGGCGACAAAAAAGCGTTTTCTGTGCATTTTATGCTTTTTTTGACAAATAATAATTGCATATTCTACTATTTTATGATGGAGATAAACTTCTCCCTTCAACTTTATCATGTAGGTTCCCATCTTTGAAATTAAGGTTAACCATATCTCTTCAAAAATTGTCGCCATTAGTGTGCTGAAACTCAGGGTGACAGAAATGCTTTATCACATATTAATATTTACGTCTTCATTATAATGCTAATATATTTCATATTTTAAGCATCTCGCTGGCAGTGTACTCACTGTGCTCTTTGAATCATAGGCCTCCCACTATATAACACAGACACAGGTTGTGCTCAGACATGGACTTTTTTAGACCGGAAATATGACTGCCTCACTTCGTCAGTTAATTGGATAGATAAACCGGAGTTGAAGGTGTTTGAAGCGGGTAATGTAATGTAATCCACGTCCGTACACGCCTTATATGAGGCATGATTGAATAACCCACATAGGAAATCCAATAAGGATGTTTGAAATTTCGATATTGAAAACACGGACTGTTTTAAAGGGGAAATTCCTTTGCGTCTCTCGAGCAGTTTCCTCTCTTGTGTTACAGTGTTGTGTTTCGTTTTTTATTTTTATTTGTTTCACGTGGAAGTAAATTCAGATAAATATTTTAAAAAAGTAATCTACTCTTTTAAAATGTCTTTCAATGTAAAAAATTGGATACATAATTGTAACAATACGACTTGACCCCTATTTTAAAGAACGCAGCACACAGCCTCAAGGATCAAAGTATTTAAATTGTTTTCTAATTTCCAGGGAAAAGTGTTACAACTTTACATGTTTCCTTTACAAGTAAGCTAATTTTTTTTCATTTCAATCTTCAAAATTGCCGGTTGGGTCGTAACCCTTGATGATATAAGAAAGAGATAGGCCTAAGACTTTTATGGAGGTACAGAAAACAAGCATACAGACTTTCGTTGCCAATGGGAGACCGTTTTAGAAGTAGTCTTACTCTACTCGAATCTCACGTTAAAACAACAATGTTTATTAATTATTTCGTTATCTTGCTAACCAGGTGCACGTGCCTTTGATTTGTCCGTGGTGTACAGCGTAAAAACGTAGAGCAGGGTACAAAAAAAAAAAAACGCTGCAAAAAGAGGACACGTTTATCCCATAAAACACTTTATTGAGCAACACCCGAGTTATTGAGAGTGATATCTTCTAAGCGAACCCACATATTACAGGTAGAATTACCTGAAACCTCTGTAAGTCACCTTGAGACATAAACGAGGTTTTGGAGTCAATTGGTAAATCTTGGGATTTTCCTTGGGCAAATATAAGCGATTTTCATCTTAGGGTGCTTTTCCAAAACGTATTGCACCAAATGGCACACTTTATCCCATAATCGAATGGTGTAGAAGTGAAATTAAGTGAAAAAAAGCGTATTCTACGCACCCAAGCAGACAATCAGACACGAGTGTAAAAACTTTACAGGGACGATTCATTTAACTCGAGTTATAAGAGCAACGCCATGCTGTGCACACCTGGCGAAATCTCGTAATACACCGCGAGAACTAATGAGATCGTTTGCCTGCAGGGGTGTTTTACTGTCACAGTTTGCATATTTGTGAAGGATGTAAGGGCGATTATTTTGTCCATGATAAATATATGTAACCCGATTTTCATTTCGTACTTGACAATCCTTTGTATTTTAAAAGAAATAATGGCTAATTAACCATTAGGCCTACACTATATGAACACAGACTGCATCCGCCCTACTTCGAAACAGGTTTTTGAATATAAATTTATTCTGAAAAAGGGTCTTTCCTCCGTTACACAAATAATTACAAATGACTTTATAAAATTGAAATTTCCTAAAACAATGCCAACCAAAGTTCATTACGTTCGGTACCAATGTGGAGCCCTGGGAAGGCATCCGCTGCGGTAATCTTTTTTGCAAGATCAGTAATTTTTTTTGCTATGCCAAAAATAAAGATAAAGTAAAATGAAATAAAATAAAATAAAATAAAAGGATATGATTCGGCATGACGATCAATATATGTATAATACTATTGTAGGCCTATATATGCATTATATATTGTATCTCATACAACTCCTTGATTCTCTCAAAGAAAAGGAGGTATTACCTGAAGAAAATACAGCATTCAGGATTATTAAGTGACCCTCTAGCTTTTTTCACCTGACGTAATATATATAACCAGTCACTGTCTGTCTATATGGTACACCGCCCGCACAGGTGTCTGCCGCAATGCCTGTTATACCGCATCCACCTTGTGAACTTTCTTATCTTTTTTTACTCCTCATACATGGGAATGCCAGCGGTACTAAATACCTACACCCTGCGTTTCAGAGTATTAATGGTGGCCCTCTCTACACCAGCATACATCTGTGTGAGGGAAATTAGGCCAAACTCTCTCACTCATTTCGTTTCTCCTTCTTTCGTGAATTGTGCGAGTTCATTGTCAAAGGGATTCCATCCGGGATTTTCGACCGAAATGTTCTTTTCCTCGAGAAAAAAAATTCAATGCATAAATTATTGCTATACCCGTTCCTGCACTTTCATTCGCTGGTGTGTTTCATTTCTAATAAAATATCTTTTTTAGCTGTGGATTGCCCATGGTTCATTTACCCCCCCCCC